AGCCTCCAGATTTCAAAGGTTCAACTGTTATTGGTTAGAATTATCTAATGATTGGTTCGTCAGTCCCTCCAGGAGTTCAGGCCTTTTAGTTTTTCAATAGTTGCAATGTTTAATTATAATTCGTTAAATATTAAAGGCAACTTGTTCCAGTGAGAATAAAATCTCTAGTAGTTTGGTGACTAAAACTACAGTGAATGGATGAAACTGCAAGATCGCACAGAGTTCATTGGGATTTGTTGAATTTGCGTTAGTTGTTCGGAGTGAACTTCCTGGAGGGACTGATTCATTCGCACTAAGTGTTTAATTCATGTTTTCGAGAAGATTTGTTATATTTAGGCTCTCTCATCATATTGCAGCAAAAGATCTTTACAAGACATGCAGATGGTTTGACTGGTAAATTCCTCCAGTATATTTAGGACACTATTTTAAGATGTTTTTCCCTGAAAAGAATCAGTTCCATCCTGAGAGATGGAGGCTGTCAGTAGAAAATATACATTCATTGAGGTAGTTTTTGGTGGGTGGTCTCCACTGTGTTACTGTAAGAACAATGAGCCATTGGAGTGGTTGAGTGTTGAGTTGTGAAACCCTGTTTAATATTAGGCCGCTGCTAATGTCATACGTCTGCTAATACGTCATACGTCACATGTCTACTAGTGTCATATGTCTGCTAGCATCATACGTCTGCTAGCGTCATAGGTCCGCTAGCGTTGCTCTGAATGTTGTTCAAACAGCATTCTTCGACACTCCTGAACGTGTTCAAAAACGTTCTGGAGTACGCTTCCAAAATCTGGCTACTAGCTTAGACGGCCATTTTGTGCAATGAAAGCCAAACGGTTGCTTTCTCAGTGTGTTAAAGGGCTACATTAACTAAATATGCACCACTTGCTGTTTCATTAAGCTCGAGGCGATAACATTGTGCCGGAGTCTCATCACAGCTCCAGTCTGACGAGGAGACAACTGGAGTTTGATTTCATGCTGCTTCAGTCCAGGACATGCCGCCCTGTTTTATATTTAGCATTAGTGTTACACTGCAACCACTTAGAGAATGTATGAAGTGGACTAGCTGCTATCTCTGAACTTTATTTTGCACGCCTGCAAAATGATTCACCTACCGTACAAGATTGTCACTGATACATGTCAATGTTTTTTGTCCTGTGTTGCTGTGAACGCAGTGCCACTTTCAGTTAGAAACGGGAAGCTTCGAGTGTGCTGCTGATGACACACTGAGTTTAAAAAGACGATCTGCAGCGTTAATGACGGTACGTTGTACCAAAAGACTGTTTACCGACTGTCGCCACTCTTTGCATGAGATCTACTGTTGCACCTCTGACTGTAAAATGACTGAAAACAGCACTGTACTGTAATTACAACAAAAACACAGTGAATATACACCTCTGACTGAAAAACGTCTGTGATTTCTTTGTAAATAATTCACGCCGCCACTGGAGGGGATACTCACGGATCAGAGCTGACTTTGTTTAGTGGCAGAATCCATAATCTTTCATCACATCTTTTATTCTGCAGCGTAGATGTGAACATTTACACCCAATTATTTGTTAGTTAGTGATGCTGTGAGAGTCAGGTGGCTGTTTGAGCCAACAGTTCTGGACGAATGAAAACTTTTATGTCTCATTTTTCCCGTTTTGGTCATTGCAGAAGCACAATGTCACAGCAACAGCACCAATGTTAAACTGAGAAATCAGCAAATTCTGAAGAGCTACTTCCTGGTTCCTGACAAGAAAACCAAAAAAACAAGGAAGGGTCATTACATCATAACGCCGACGCTCTGATGCTGTTTGGTGCCATTTGTATTGGAACCTATTTATCTCCGTCGTATGACCTAATAGATATTTACAAAGATTTCCGAACTCGTTTAAATGAAGAAATCCTTTGTTTATTAAAAGAAAATCATTCTCTCTATTTGACCCAAGTTCAAGGGCACTGACTGGAGGATTAACCTTCAACATGTTTTGATGGGGGAGGAAACCTACGCAAATATGGGTAGAACATGCAAACTCCACACAGAAAGGCCCGTCAACCTTCTTGCTGTGAGGCGACAGTGCTGTGGTTTAGAACTACGTCCTAGTTGTCTGTTCGGTTTGTTCTAGTGTCACTTTTTGGCTGAGACACAGGCGACATGAGGCGGAACAACGGTCGCTGCTAGTTGAGTTGATGTTTGGTGCTTCAGGGCTTCAACAGAACTGCATTAGAGCGTTGGTGTCTCCTTGTAATGAACCTCACTTCTTTTTTTAGTTTCCTTGTCTTCCAATTATTCAAAAGGCTTCTCAAGTGTGTTCATTCATTCAAACCACTAAAATGAGATCCAGGATCTAAAAAAAGCTGAAGTCGTCCTTCAAACCTTCACATATGTAACACAAGTCAAAAATTACAAACAAAATGCTCCAAATATTAAATAATTAAGTGAGGTTTCTTTTGAAAAAGAGATCTCAATCTCAATGAATCTGCCTGATTAAATGAAGGTTAATTAAACTGTAATAACACCAAAACATGCATATTCCACTTCTGTTGAATAGGAATTCCTGATAAGTAGAAGTGCAGTAATCAGATGTGATGGTAAACAGTGGTACTGCGCAGTGGTCAAACTAAAAAATAAGGCTAAATTTTTGCCAGCCAAAAGTGTTTTTTTTTTCATTAATCAACTTTTTTTATTTCCTCAAAACTAAATGGGTGCAGATTTAGCAGAAACTGTCCCACAAAGCTTTTTCACAAAACATTTATACCTCATGAATCACACACTATAATTATATAAAAAAGCTCCTCTCAAACATTTTCTTGCATATTTGATAGTGCTGATCTTTCTGGAATAACAGGGTGATATTGTACAGATAACTTTTCTTTAGAGGTGAACACTCGTCTCCATGTTGTTTAGACTGTATGCCACATTCACTAGTTTGTTCATCAGATCAGTGCGGACCTTACGTGCTGCTAACAGTCGATGCTCAAAGGAACATCCAGATATTTTAAGAAATTGCATTTAGAAATGAGTCTAATCGGTACAGGGACGGGTCCAGGAGGCGTTTTAGCATAGCTTAACATAACTGGAAGTACGGGGGAAACCTGGTACCTTTATACAAATCTTATTAGCTAATGAGCTAGTGAGTGTTCCGTTCTGTAGTCAAACCAACAGCCGCACTATGTGAGTTACTGTGTTCAGTCACTGCTTCCAACTGTTGTTAAAAAGCATTTTTCATTTCATCTAGACTTTAAAAGGTTCTGCTAAGGCTCAATATGTTTCTTTAAAGAAGTGAAGCTGGTATCAATCTATCAGTTGTTGATGAGTGAATTTGTCTTTTGGTGGAGCTATGCTAACAGTTCACCCCTGCTTCCAGTCTTTCTGCTAAGCTAAGTTAAACAACATCCCGGACCTTTCTCTGTACTGTTTGAAACTGTGTATCCAGTACCAGTTGGCCGCACTCACCTGACTCTGAGAATGATGAAAACAAAAGTACTTTATCATAAAATGTCTGAACGTTCCTGCAGAGTTTTTTCAATAACAGCAGAGTTTCTGTTGTGGAGGTGAATTTGGGGCTGAAGAGCTCACAGCGTTAGTTCAGTGTGATGATCCGTGAGTGTCTTTCACGTGTAAAATACAGCTACGTTTCTTTTTTATCACTATATGATTGTACAGTACTGCTTGTATAATTTCCAGGTAAAGCATGTATTTTAAACTTTTTGTAAATCCAAATGATAACTGTGTACATATATACAGAAATGTAGAAAGTAATTAGGTTTGCAGTTAATCAATAATAGCATGATAATTAGCGGGGGTTTAGTATGTATGTACAGGCTGTATGTTAAATCTTTATGAAGGGAAACACTTGAAAATCACCTGATATCAGACTGCGTGCTGTCTAAGGATAAACTCTGCAATGCATTTTTTTGTGCCTTTTATATCAATGTATGTAATCTAGACAATCTTGAAAAGCTTGTGTACAACCAAAATGACATTAAAATGGTTTTGGGGGAAAATTCAGTGGTTCCTGCTGTGGTTCTTACTGGAAGAGCGACCGTTAGCTGAACGCTACGTTAACTTTAGCTTCCTCTGAATCAGCAGGATAACACCTGCAGCTTCTTGTGGCTTTTATTATTGTTGTAGGACAAAAGTGATTAATACATTCTCCAGCTCTAGACATTGCATTTTTGACCAATCATTGTAGTTTCCTGGGAGTTAAACCAATCACAGCGTTCCCCTGCACAAAACGTTGAGCAATATCAAACCAGTAAATTTTGTCAATATCCATATTGGTAATTCGTAATATACAAAAACTTTGTCTGTAAATAGTTCTCTTGCTGTTGTGATCAAAACCATTGATCAGAGGACTGTTCTGTGGATAGTTTTTTAAATAAACATAGCAACTTCTGATCAACCCGTTTCAGTTTCAGGCTTAAATGAACAATTTCCAGGTTTGTCCACTACAGTTTAAACACAACCCACGTCTGTTTAAGCGCCGCCCATTCTGAGTACAGACACCAAAACAGATCATTTAGTTGGTTAAAGAGGTACAGGTAATAGTGTACTCTCTCATTCCTATCGATTGGATCAGAGCACTAAACGTAAACAAGATTGCGTCAAATTGACGTTATGAACGTCTGACTATGAAACATTTAAAAACCTTTGTGTGATTTAATAAATGCTTGACAGTTTAAAAAAGAATCCACATCTCCACTGTCAGTTTTTTATTGTTTAACTGATTAAACTGTATTTAAACTTAACTGATATATGTTATCTTAATTTTCTCTACATTTTCTTGTTACAGATGTGCTGAGGCATTTTGTGTGTGCTTGTGTAACCTGAATACATAGTTTTTGAATTCCACCCCTCACCTGGTTTCACTGGTCATACATGTCTATAAACTGCTTATGCCCTTATGTTAATGCATTGTGATATGTCCAAGCTCAGGAAGCTTTATCTTTAAACTTATGTTTTTGTTCCATTCTGTCTTGTTTTGAGTTGTAATAAAGTGTTACATTGTTTCCAGGTGTTGTCACCCACGGAGCAGAGCATCCCGTTGCCGTCCTCCCCAGACTATCGCACAAAGGGCCAGAGTGATGAGAGGGAGCATTTCCACATCCTTCCTCAGCTCCAGGCCAAGAGGGCCGACTTCCTCACAGTCATCCTAACCGGAACCTTGCCTCAGCGCCGGAGCTTTACCACGCCAGACGAAGAAGTCCCAGAATGTCCAGGGCCAAAGGATGATGACGTCACGAAGAGCGAGTCCAACAGCGAGGCAAGTCAGAAGAGCACCGAACGTAGTCAGGACGCTGCGCCTTCAACACTCATGGCTGAGGACCAAAGGGTCCAGAGAGAGCACGCCTCAGCTGCTGATGCTGACCCTGACCTGGAAGACGCCTCCAAAACCCTTGTTCTCTTCTCACCCGGAGACACTCGCAAGTCTCCCTCTGGTGGTGATCATGGTTTAGAGGGTGAGTTGGCCACACCGTGTGCCCTCACTTTCCGTAACGACCGTCTCCTGGTTGGGGAGGCAAATCAACCTGAACCCTCTGAGACCGGCCGTTTGTCCCCTGCTCTCAGGTCAGACCTGAGGCCGTCCACTCCCATTGCTCCTGCATCACCACCCTTCACCAAAGTTGAGCGCACTTTCATCCATATTGCAGAGACATCACATCTCAATGTCATGTCTTCCAATGGTCACTCTGCAAAGGATAGTGACCGGGAAGTCTTGGCCATCATGAAGGTATCAGCTGTAGAGGATGACACCCATGAGCAAGGGGCAGCACCAGTGACAGAAGAGTCTCCAGAGGAGCCTGTGCCAGACCAAACTACACCAGTTGACAAACACCCTAATACTGAGAATGGTCCATCGGCTATTCTGGCCCAGTCTTTGGAACCTGTTCCAGAATCCATGTCACCAGTTCATGAACATAAAGATCAGTCACAGGAACCTAAGAAACAGCCATCATCCAGTGAAGAAGCTGCCAAGCTTCAGACAACCAGCTCGGAACTACCTGCTGCCATAAAGCCCAGAATCCGAAGCCGAATCCCAGTACTGATCTCTGAGGAGGACTCAGGCTCAGAGCAGTCTTCCTCCCTTTCGGCTCGCGCTCGGCTTCAGCAGCGGGCAAGGCAGCTGGACTTGGCCCGCCTGCTGGTCCAGAAGCAACAGGGTCGCTGGATGAGGAGAAGGATGCTGTCTGGGACATCATCATCGTTATCCTCTGGGGATGATGAGCGTCGGAGGGCTTCCGAAACTCTGTCCACCACTGGCTCAGAGGAGGACACACATACCTCGGATGAGTCCAGGAGGAGCTCCCGTCTCAAAACGACTGAAGAGCAAGGCTCCAAGGAGTGCAGGAGCAGGATCCCAAGGCCCGTCACCCCCATAAAGAGGACTTCAGTGGGGCTTGCCACTTCTGTTCCTTCTCCTCTCTCCTTGCCAGACTGCAGCACTACCAAAGGAGCATCATCTTTCACTAATGGGTATGATTCTTTTTCTGTCTCTTAGTATATGCGAGTTTTGATTTTAAAGTGATTTGATTACATTTTCAGATCAAATTTAAAGAAATAACGCCTTCAATTTACTCTCTGTTCACAGCAATCAGAAAATCGGACTAAGCACTCTCAGCACTCAACGGAAATCCAAACCTGTCTCACCCAGGTCCTCCTCCTCATGTCCCCGTCCCTCCGCTGCCCCTGCCCCGTCCGGCAGCCCTCGAATGCCCCTGCGAGTCCTGTTCGGAACCCGACGCAGCCTTAGCTCCACCCACTGCCGGACTGACAGCCCCTCCCCTCAAAGAGCGTGTCCTTCCAGGCAGCCCCTCTCGGTTCGAGCCCCAACTGTCCCTGTGCTACCGCCCAGGACTACAACAACCATGCGGCGCAGCGCCTCACAGGAAGCCACCGCCCAGACCTCCTCTGGCACCACGCCCGCCAGGATCAGGCCGAAACCAGCTGGTGCGGCTAAGGGGAAGCCAAATGCCAGGGAGAAGGCGGTGCCAGCTAGATAATACAAAGAGACTCATTGCTGAGACATGTTTGTGTATAATCAGTCTTCGGACAAGCTACGCCTCAAAGGTTCTCACCTGATTCCATTAGACTGTGATGGTACAATGACCTTCTTCAATTCATTTAATGTATACAGACCTCTTATATTTTCCAAGGACAGCTTACTAAACTATCTTAATGGGCTTCCAGTAATCTTAGATAGATCTATTAGAGATGTTCCGATACCATTTTTTCCTTTCTGATACCGATTGAACTTTGCGGATCAGGCGACACAGAGTACCGATCCGATACATGTGCGTTAAAATATTTTTTAACAAACGTGAACTACTAAGCCGGTATGATTGCTATCTTTGTTGTATGGCCTGGCTCAGGTTAAACCCTCTGCCAGAATCAGAATCATGACTTTGCTATCCTAGGAAAACAAATGGGAGACAGCTGGGAAATAGCAGAGTCCTATTCACGTAGTCACGTAGTATCTGATCGGTGCACAGATGGGCACTCACCGATACCACATTTTAGGCAGCATTGGAGGAATTTCCAATGCTGGTATAGGTATCGGAACAACTCTACTGACTGTCGTTCAGGAGCGTTGCTGCCATGGTGCTATGGATACGTCTGCTGCTCCCTGGTCAAACCCCGATTTAACTTGTTTCTGGAGCTGACAATCGTGGCCTCCAACAGGTCCAGTTTCAGAGACTCTCACCTGACACAGTACTCCCAGCTTGTCCACAGCTATAATACTCTTCTATTGATAGTACCCTGCTTGGATCACATTGCATGGTGACGTATATCACAAATACATTGAATCTGTAGAAGGAAGACAACATGTACAAAAATCTGTACCCTTAAATTATTTGATATAGCTCTCCCCTCGCTATTGGGATAAACTGGCCAAACAGAAATATCAAATTGGACTGGTTTGAATGCCCAAACTATGTTAATATGATAAAAGGTATCTATATCCTGTACTCATTTTGGTCTTGGATAAAGAGAAAAGTTGGATGTGAACACAAAATAAATAGCTCGGCCGCTCGCCTCCTCCTCATGGTGTGACAATGGGCATGCTTTAATCATTCTATTTTCTGGGTGTTTTTATTTTGTTTATGCTCTGAATTGTATATAATAGAATCATTTCCCATAAAGACATCTTTATTTTTTATCTTGCCAAGCAAAATGTAAATTTCAAGTCTTCAACCTTCTGTTCCAATGTGTTGGCACTATGCCTGTTTTTTACGCATGAGAAAAACAGGGTTAACCATGAGAGGAAGTCATACCTGCTTGGATTCTGCTGACAGTGCAAAGGTCTGCTGGTTGTTGGGGCCCATGTTGTGTTTGTACGGGGTCGAAGGGCACTGAGCTGTGAAGTAAAGTCTTGGTCATGTGGAAGGGCGTCTTGTCATTTTTTCCCTCACTGGTTCCCAGTAAAACAAAGTACCCGATCTGATCTGGATAGTCAACATATAAAAGATGTGTCTCTACTTCCTCCCACTGTACAAAAATAAACCCCGAAATATCCCAGACACATCAAGGTTGTCGCTGCGGTATCAAGGTCCCGCCCGACGCAGCTAGTACAGTTAGCATATGCCTTTAAATTGTTAATTTGTTTCCATAAATTAAAACAAATTAAAGACGTTACAAGTTTATTTTTAATAATAACCACCAGCATCTGAAACGTTTACATCCACGTTGTCCATTAAATAAACAATATTGCTGTAAGTTAATGTACGTTATCCACTTTTAAAGACTGAACATCAGCAGAAGGTCAAAGGTTTCAACCTCTGAAGAACTGAACTCAGTCAGAAACCTTCAACTTAAGTTCCTTTTTTTAATTGTATTGAACAGAAAGTGTCAGTAATGTTTCATGAGTCTGTAGAAATCAGACTCAAAGTTTTAATTGCCTTCTTATTCTTAGTTAAAATTCAAATTTGGTTTTGTTCTCCGTCCATCTCTTCTTATGAAGGTGGAATTTAACAATAAAATTAACTGCATACTTATAAATATATAGATATAGATATATCTATACTTTCATTCCCTTCAAAACATATAAAAATATCATGAAACTGAATTACTGGTCCAAGTAACATTTAATCTTCACCTGACCTACCAAAATAAAGGCATAGAAACCTTTAAAATTATATTTATTTTTTCTGGATATATTCAATAAAGATTTTAAAGGAAACTTTATAATAAAATTTTTTTCTCCCAGAACATCCAAGTTTTCTGCCAATTAATTAATTATTATTTAATTTAATTAAAGATGTTATACGTTGTACACTATACGGCTGCAGTTCCACCGGCCGGCCAGCAGGTGGCGGACACGAGGCGACCACGAGCCGGAAACCATGAAGAAGCAGCGCCGATGACGCAGGTCCAAGATGTCGGCGCAGGTAGAGTTGTGCTGTTTGGAGAGTTTCCCGCCGCAGCTGAGTCCTCTGGATGTCCTCATATTAAAATCTGATCTGGGTTCAGTCTTCCACAATGACACCGACCCACCGACCGTCGTCCTCAGCCCGCAGCGGCCGCACGGTGCCGAGAGTCCGGGCATCTTACTGCGGGTCCACCCGACCACCGAGGAGGAGACTGCGGGCTGCGGAGGACCAGCCTCCCCCGGCCGGGTCCGGCTGTTCGCCAGCCGCCTCTTCATGCGCCTCCGCGGGCTGCAGCGGGTCGGCAGCACCGGCACCGTCCGGGCTCTGGAGCCGGTCAGCCTGGACCGAGTGGTGCTGGGAGCCCGCAGCAGGCAGAGCCTCCGCTGGGCCGCAGGAGAGCGGTTCACCGGCGGGCTGCTGGAGCTCTGCCGCCCGGGACAGTGGCTGCTGGCCCGGCAGGGAGACCCGCTGCTGCTGCCCCGACACCCGCTGCTGGGAGAGGACCCGGGGCAGGTGAGTCCGAATCACTGATGATCAGTAATCGATACCGATAATATACATTCACTGTGCAATTTAAAACACAGAATAAGCAGCATTATACAGTGTTTTTACTTTAATACACAACAACAACAACAATAATAACAACAATAACAACAACAACAATAATAACAACAATAACAACAACATCAATAACAACAACAATAATAACAACAATAACAACAACATCAATAACAACAACAACAATAATAATAATAATAATACTAATAATAATAACAACAACAACAATAACAACAACATCAACAACAATAACAACAACAACAACAACAATAATACTAATAATAATAATAATAACAATAATAATAATAATAACAAGTTAACATCGATGTTGTTGGATTTTCATTAATTAGTTAATATTGTGAACATTGGCAGCAGGTGTTTGATCAATAATCAGGTTTTAAGGAGTTTTTTTAATTATAAGATCTGAGGACCTGTAACCAATCAGAGCGCTGCATTATTTATTGATTGATTGATTGATAATGTGATGCTGATTATTGGCTCAGATAATTGATCCCTGTAGCTGACTTCCTGTGTGACGTCCTCCAGCAGTTGGAGCTCCTGGTTCTGGACTGCAGTCCTGTGACTCAGGGCCGGATCACTGCAGACACGTCTCTGGTTCTGACGGACTGCTGCGACCCGACGGACCCCCCGGGACCGGCCCCGCCCTGCAGACCGCTCAGACTGTGCGTGTCGGACTTCGCTCATTACGCCGACGGCCTCGGAGGGGGGCGGTCTCTCCTGGACAACAGGAACTCTCTGGGCTCGGGGTTCTCCGGCGTCCTGCAGGCTCTGGAGGGCCGGCTGGAGGTCCAGGTCGGAGACCCTCGGCAGTGGCTCGGGGGTCAGCCAGGCGGCGCCGTGGACGCGGACGGCTGCGTGTTTGTGAGCAAACAGCTGCTCCTCAGGCTCGGGCTGTTCAACCGGGAGTGGGTGAGGCTGTGGCGGCCGGGCGGAGCCTCCAGACCGGATCCCAGAGAGCGGCTGGTCTCGGTGCTGGTGCTGGACTTCACTCAGAGTCCAGACCTGCAGAACCGCAATGAGCTCGGACTCGTGTCGCCGACTCTGTGGTTCAACATGACCGACGGAGACGAGCTCCCTGAGAGGAGCTGCACGCTGAGGATGAAGGTCAGCGTTTTACCGTCATAAGCCCCGCCCCTTTCTGCTCTGTGCTCCAATCAGAGTTGAGCGAGCCTCGGCCAACTTCCTGCTCGCCTTAACTAGCAAAATATTCTATTTACAGAACGAGTTGGTCTAAAAACTATTAGATTATATAGATCGTAGGATTAGACGTTTATATAAGATATGTTGGAAGTAGCTCATTTACTGAATTTCACAATAAAGTTATTTACTTAGAAATGCTATATGCTAGATTAGTTTAACACGTAGCATTTCTGTCTGATCCACACAGATTAATACGGGACCGGGTGTAAAATACAATAGTTATTGATTGATTGATAGTTGTCCTCGTCATTATCTGTTTTTGTCTCAGAGGTGGAAACCGTCTCCTCCGGCGCCCGGCGGGCCTCGCTCCGACAGTTTCTGTCGCTCTGCTTCTCCGCCGTTCGCCAGCGAGCTTCACATCCAGCCGGTCGCGTCTCCGCTGTACAACAACCTCAGCTGCTACGACGACCTGCTGTCCGAACACTTCAGCACGCCAAGGTCAGCTGACGGCGGCGGGAAGAACTACTCGCATCCTGTAGTGACTAAATGTTAGCATGTTCACATGATGGTAGATGTTTGTGAAGGTGTTGAACCAGTTGGTCTCTGTGTGTGTGCAGACTGGTTTCACTGGGAGACATCCTGACGGTTCCTGTGGAGAACCATCCGGACCTTCTGGAGAACAGCTCGGAGGGAATCAACAGGTGAGCAGCAGAGAGGATCCTGTTCCTACTTCCTGTTCCTACTTCCTGTTGGGTTCTGAGTGACGGCAGCTGTGTGACCTTTGACCCGTCAGGTGTCCGGTGCTGTTCTTCAGAGTGCAGAAGGTCTGTCCGTCAGCGCAGAGACAACCAGAAGTAGAGGAAGAAGAGGAAGAAGAGGGAGGAGCTCACCTGGCCGACAGACTGCACACCTCCCTCTACATGGTGACCTTTACTCCTCCTGCTGCAACGGGTCTCATATAGAGGCCCGGGGTCTCATATAGAGGCCCGGGGTCTCATATAGAGGCCTGTTGGCAGGATGAGTTCAGTGACTGATTCATTAAAGTTTATTAGTATTTAAACAAATCTACACATGATTTACTATTAGTCTGTTATTTATTCCACCAACATCAATATAAAGAAAACGTCAGACAGGTGATTCCATGTGTTTTGGAAACACCTGGAAACAGATTAAAATCCATCTAAACCTGTTTTCTCTGTCTCTCTGATTGTCTGTCTGTCTGTCTGTCTGTGTGTCTGTCTGTCTCCTCAGCGACCGTCCACTAACAGCGCCGTCCCGTGTTGCTCTGTGGACGCAGCGTCTCTGTGGAGCTCTCTTTCTCCTCCGGGCCTCAACAGAACCGTGGACCAGCTGAGCAGCATCATCCTCCCACACCTGCAGCACAGGTAACTCAGCTGAACGCAGTGATGCATTATGGGACCTCAGGTGATCAGTGATGTCAGTGTTTTGTCTTGTTTGTAGCAGCTGTCTGTCTGGTTGCACCGTCCTCCTTCACGGCCCCGCAGGAAGCGGGAAAGTGACGGCGGCGAGCGCGGCGAGTCGCAGACTGAATCTCCACCTGGTGAAGGTACGACGCACGCACACACCTCTTCTTCTTCTTCTTCTTCTTCTTCTTCTTCTGAGGTTAACTTCAGATCACTGTGTGTGTGTGTGTGTGTGTGTGTAGGTGGACTGTGTGAGTGTGTGTGCTGACTCTCCTGCAGCCTCCGAGGTGAAGCTGTCCTCGATATTTCAACGGGCCGGCGCCCTCCAGCCGTGCGTCCTGCTGCTCAGGAACCTTCAGCTCCTGCTCCGACCTCGAGGTGGCGGCGAGGAGGACGGCCGGGTCACCGCTGCGCTCTGCCAGCTGCTCAGCGCCGCCCCCCGCAGGTCACTGACCACCTCTAAACTGCTTACAGTAAACATACACGCTCCTTTTATGTCTGTGTGCTCAGTGAGCTGCTGTCTTTGTGCTTCAGCGTGGTCGTCGTGGCGACGGTCTGCAGGCCTCGGGATCTGTCGGCAGGCGTCGTGGCGGCGTTTCTCCACCAGGTGGCGTTAGAGAGTCCCACTGAGGAGCAGCGCCGCTCTATGCTGGTCAACCTGAGCCGAGACCTTCACCTGGGGAGGGACGTCAACCTGGAGAGACTCTCCAAGCTCACCGCGGTACGACACGGTTCAAACAGACCGGCACAGACCGGCACAGACCAGGATCTGATCACTAATGACTCTTCCTCCTCTTCCTCAGGGGTTCGTGTTGGGGGATCTGAGTGCTCTGCTGGTCCAGGCTGGTCGATCCGCCTGCAGGAGGCTGATTCGGACCTGGTGAGACCGATTTAGCTTCGTACATCCTGGTTCTGCTCTTCCAGACAGGATCCGGGTCAGAGCAGAATCTGGTTTATCTGGGTGGAGAATAAAGGTTTTTAAGAACCTGGTTCTGATGTGTCTGCAGTGGTGGCCGGCAGGAGGAGGACCTGTGCTCCAGTGGAGTGACCATCCTGAACCAGGACTTCACTACCGCCCTGGAGACCCTGCAGGACGCCCAGTCCAAGGCCATCGGAGCCCCCAAGGTGATCAGACCCGGTCCAGCACAGCAACCCTGTGAAGTTCATGTTCTGGTGTGTGTAACCATGGTAACTATGTCTGTGTGCGAGCAGGTTCCTGATGTCCGCTGGGACGACGTCGGAGGTCTGCAGCAGGTGAAGAAAGAGATTCTGGACACTGTTCAGCTTCCTCTGCAACGTCCAGAGCTCCTGGTTCTGGGTCTGAACCGGACCGGAGTCCTGCTCTACGGACCACCAGGGACAGGAAAGACCCTGCTGGCTAAAGCTGTGGCTACTGAGTGCTCCATGACCTTCCTCAGGTAGGGACACCTTCCTCTTCCTCTTCCTCAGGTAGGGACACCTTCCTCTTCCTCAGGTAGGGACACCTTCCTCTTCCTCTTCCTCAGGTAGGGACACCTTCCTCTTCCTCTTCCTCAGGTAGGGACACCTTCCTCTTCCTCTTCCTCAGGTAGGGACACCTTCCTCTTCCTCAGGTAGGGACACCTTCCTCTTCCTCTTCCTCAGGTAGGGACACCCTCCTCTTCCTCAGTGATGTGTATGGTGCCATTCACTGATTAATTGATTGATTGATATATTGATTGATTGATTGATTGATTTATCTATTATTATATTGATCATCTGTCTCAGTGTTAAAGGTCCAGAGCTCATCAACATGTACGTTGGTCAGAGTGAGGAGAACATCAGAGAAGGTTTGTAACAGTCAGTATTGTTCAGTATTGATCCCATATAGATTGATTGGTCCCTGATCAGACTCACTGTATTGATCCCATATTGATTGATTGGTCTCTGATCAGACTCACTGTATTGATCCCATATTGATTGATTGGTCTCTGATCAGACTCACTGTATTGATCCCATATAGATTGATTGGTCTCTGATCAGACTCACTGTATTGATCCCATATAGATTGATTGGTCTCTGATCAGACTCACTGTATTGATCCCATATTGATTGATTGGTCTCTGATCAGACTCACTGTATTGATCCCATATTGATTGATTGGTCTCTGATCAGACTGTGTTTGTGGATGTTCAGTGTTCAGCAGAGCGCGTTCAGCAGCTCCCTGCGTCGTCTTCTTCGATGAGCTGGACTCTCTGGCTCCCAGCAGGGGGCGCAGTGGAGACTCTGGGGGGGTGATGGACAGGTGAGTGTCTACCTGCAGGACTGGTACTCCTGAAACCGGACCGGTACTGTTGGTACTGTCGGTACCGTTGGTACCGTCGGTACAATAAAGTCTGATTGAATCTGTCGGACAGGGTCGTGTCTCAGCTGCTGGCTGAGCTCGACGCTCTGCACTCGTCTGTCGGGGTTTTTGTGATCGGAGCCACAAACCGTCCGGACCTGCTGGACCAATCACTGCTGAGGCCCGGCAGGTCAGAGGACACACACACATATGCTATAATACAATAATCAGACTTACATTTCCAGCAGAGTGCTGTTATTATTGGATTGTTATTATTTTAATGTGAATGTTAAAAGTTATAGAAGTGTAATAAAAGTCATTATCTGTGAGATTACAGTAATTATTGCTGTTTACACTGATAACAACTGTATTTGGACAGTTTACCTTATACACTGATAAACAACATTTATTCAACTTCCATCATTATACAACATATCTGTCTGTTAACTAACTAATACATTAAAGTTACACAACTAATACTTTTTACTGTTAATGTCACAGATTTTATATCATGTTAGAAATATATTAACACTATTAAAGTTGGATTTAATCTATTAAATAGTAAATATCTTAGAGTTTAGATAAACGTCTTCGGTGAGTTTCTGATATTTACTCTTTCTGTATCATTATTGATCCATCATTTGTCCTCTGTGATTATAACGCTGATGCCCCTTTCAGGTCAGTCTGGGTCTGACGGCTGTGAAACTGTCTGTGTGTCCTCAGGTTTGATAAACTGGTCTACGTTGGAATCAACGAGGACCGGGTCTCTCAGCTGCAGGTCCTCCAGGCCATCCTCAGGAAGTAAGAACAGCTCCCCCTACTGGCCCTCAGGATATGAAGCCTCCAACACTGAACAAATCTTATTCTTTTATATTATTCTGACTCTTTTTCCAAACATCTGATATTAATTTAATTATTTAAATGTATTTTAACATGTCTTCTGAGTCACATCTTTCCTCCAGTGTGACTGTAACCATACGGAAGCCCATTAATGCCACTAACATTAAATACAATGAAACCTTTTATAATAAAAATATCACCATGGTAACTCAAAGTTATGAGATAAAAAGTCACTTTGTATTTTATAGTTATTATTTACCGTAAAACTTCTAATAATAGCCCGGGCGTTTATTTGCCTTAATCACTGAACTCCCCCTGCCTTTATTGGGGACAGGCCTCTATTTGGGACAGGCCTTTAATTTCTTTAGCACTAAACTAAACTAAACTAACTGCTGCTTCTCTTGAGGTTTGTTCAGCAAATTTGACAACTAACATGATGATTATGATGCTTCAGAGGTTTTTTTCCGTCTCTCTTGTTTACTGTGTTACCGGTAATTCAGAATAAATTAACATTTTACTTTTGTTGTTGATAGTTTTTGTAAAATATAGTGAACGATTGAATTGTGGAGAATCTATAACTGATCTAATGATGTTCATTATGTACATATTAACAAAAGTTGAAACATTTGTATTTGTGTAGGAGATCAAAACGACTTAAAACTCGCTCAAGCAGGCGACCCGGTGGGTTTTAAGAGGTTTTATACATTAAAATCCAGACCAGGCCTCTATTGGAGACCTGCGTTTATTTGTCAAAACGTGTAGCCACACCAGGCTTTAAAAAGAGACCTGCGTCTGTTAGGGACCCTGCTTTTATTGGAAGTTTTACGGTATTACGTTTTTATCTCATGTTTTTACTGTTTTGGCAGACCTGGGCTTCCATAGAGGAGAGTTATTGTGTGTAAACTGTAAACTGTGAATCAATCTTGGCTCCAGGTTCCAGCTGGACTCCGCCGTGGACCTGCGGGAGGTGGTGGACCGCTGCCCCGCTCACCTGACCGGCGCCGACCTGTACGCTCTCTGTTCAGACGCCATGACGGCCGCCATCAAGAGGAAGATCGCTCTCATAGACGCCGGTGAGAAAACAGGAAGTGTGACGGTGGAGCCAGAAGCTTTAAAGTTCATTTAAGTAGCTCACTTTATTTCCTCCCCCCCTCCCCCGTCAGGGCTGGACTCGGAGGACTCCCCCGTCCTGATCTCCGCTGAGGATTTCTCCGCAGCGTTAGAAAACTTCCGGCCGTCGGTTTCGGAGCAGGAGCTGCTGCGATACAGAAACCTTCAGCAGAAACTGAGAGACTCAGACGACGGAGGCTCCAAGAACTTTAATTTCTGAAGAATCTTCATGTGCAAAACTGTAAATATTATATTATAAATTATATAATATTATAATATATATAATAATATAAATATTAATGATGTAAACAAAGAAGTTAATTTATACAATTGTGAGATTTAATTTCTGCCAGAAGACCTTAAATAAACAGATTTCAGATTTTTCTGAATTTATTCAGTAAATGTCTAATTCTTCTGTTAGCGTTAGCTTCAGTCTGTTAGCGTTAGCTTCAGTCTGTTAGCTTCAGTCTGTTAGCTTCAGTCTGTTAGCTTTAGCTTCAGTCTGTTAGCGTTAGCTTCAGTCTGTTAGCTTTAGCTTCGGTCTGTTAGCTTTAGCTTCAGTCTGTTAGTGTTAGCTTCATTCTGTTAGCGTTAGCTTCAGTTTGTTAGCATTAGCTTCAGTCTGTTAGCGTTAGCTTCAGTCTGTTAGCTTTATCTTCAGTCTGTTAGCTTCAGTCTGTTAGCTTTAGCTTCATTCTGTTAGCGTTAGCTTCAGTCTGTTAGCTTTAGCTTCAGTCTGTTAGCGTAAGCTTCATTCTGTTAGCGTTAGCTTCAGTTTGTTAGCGTTAGCTTCAGTTTGTTAGCGTTAGCTTCAGTTTGTTAGCGTTAGCTTCAGTCTGTTAGCTTTAGCTTCAGTCTGTTAGCTTCAGTCTGTTAGCTTTAGCTTCAGTCTGTTAGCGTTAGCTTCATTCTGTTAGCGTTAGCTTCAGTTTGTTAGCGTTAGCTTCAGTCTGTTAGCGTTAGCTTCAGTCTGTTAGCTTTAGCTTTAGCCTCAGTCTGTTAGCATTAGCCTCCGTCTGTTAGCTTTAGCTTCAGTCTGTTAGCTTTAGCCTCAGTCTGTTAGCGCTGTCGCTAGTGGCAACGTTTGTTGTTGGTTTAAGGAAAAAAGGATAAAATGATGATTTTGTAAAAGAGTTTTAAGAGTTGAATATAATCGGTTCTACTAAACGCAACCAGTCAGACCTTAAACAGATTTAATCCAAATACATCATCAAACTTTCTACATTCGACTGCATTTAAAACTAAAATATAAAGAGTCGCAATCTGCCGATCTCTGATAACCAAAACATTTCACCAAGTCATGACATGCTGAGATGCTAAGCTATATACAGCTAGCCACTTTTATTTATCAGTTTCATCACAATCAATCACCTCAACAGGTAAAGCAGAAGCAGAGTGGCCGAGAGCGTTATCGTAAACACGTCTCAACAGTTTATCGTACATTTATTCATCACCAAGAAAAAAACCCTCATTCACGTCCTCCACATCTCGTTAGCTATAGCGCTAGTTATTAGCTGTAGCGCTAGCTTTGGCTAGTGAGCTACCTACCTTTGGTTAGCTAAAGGGCTGCCACTTTTTATTTTATTTTATTGTTTATATAGAATTCATTATCGGTTGAAAGCTGGAAAAATCTGTCCAACTCTGGAACTGGTTCTGTCTTCTTCTACGTCTGTAAAACGTTAAATTGTGTACGAATAATAAGACCAAACCATCTTAATGCTAACTGCTAACTGCTAGCTGGCACCACAAATTCTATAATGTAAAGGTTCTGAATCCTGTTGTGTCTCTATAATAATCAGATTATTGATCAGATTATTGATCAGATTATTGATCAGCAGAGAGTGAACAGGTTGTAGTGGAGCTTTGTCCCTCTGCTGTCTGTGGACTGATCTCTATGTGTCTCTATGTAGGATGAGGGTCAAAGGTTGTGACCTTTATGCTCCCGAGTGCCAACAGTGGGCAACACAGAGTCCAACACAGAGTCCACAACACAGAGTCCAACACAGAGTCCACAACACAGAGTCCAACACAGAGTCCACAACACAGAGTCCACAACACAGAGTCCACAACACAGAGTCCACAACACAGAGTCCAACACAGAGTCCACAACACAGAGTCCACAACACAGAGTCCACAACACAGAGTCCACAACACAGAGTCCACAACACAGAGTCCACAACACAGAGTCCAACACAGAGTCCACAACACAGAGTCCAACACAGAGTCCACAACACAGAGTCCAACACAGAGTCCACAACACAGAGTCCAACACAGAGTCCACAACACAGAGTCCACAACACAGAGTCCACAACACAGAGTCCAACACAGAGTCCACAACACAGAGTCCAACACAGAGTCCACAACACAGAGTCCAACACAGAGTCCACAACACAGAGTCCAACACAGAGTCCACAACACAGAGTCCACAACACAGAGTCCACAACACAGAGTCCACAACACAGAGTCCACAACACAGAGTCCACAACACAGAGTCCAACACAGAGTCCACAACACAGAGTCCAACACAGAGTCCACAACACAGAGTCCAACACAGAGTCCACAACACAGAGTCCAACACAGAGTCCACAACACAGAGTCCAACACAGAGTCCACAACACAGAGTCCAACACAGAGTCCACAACACAGAGTCCAACACAGAGTCCACAACACAGAGTCCAACACAGAGTCCACAACACAGAGTCCAACACAGAGTCCACAACACAGAGTCCAACACAGAGTCCACAACACAGAGTCCAACACAGAGTCCAACACAGAGTCCAAAGTCAAAGCTAACATTAATGCTAAGCTAGTGGAACATATTGTCTGATTGTGCTTTTAGCTTGCTACTGGGTTGCAGCTAGCTCGCTAACATTATTACTAGCAAACGCTCCTGAAGTCGAACCTCACTAACCCCGACCTCTAAATCCAAGATGGCTGCTCCACGCGACCTTCAGTAAACGTTGTAGTAATATTCAGTTTCATTTCAGTTGTAAACTGAAACTGCTAACTTGCTAGAGCATCAAAGTTTAGTTATTCTGACGGTTTAGCCAACAATAAATTATGCTAACAGTACAAAGCTAACGATAGCAAGGGCAAGAGCATCCAGCTAGCTAACTGTAGCTAAGCTAAGGACGCCGACTGTAGTTCAATGAACGGCCACTGATGTCACTATTAACAACAGTTTAGTTAAAGTTAATTTTTTTTTCGGACCTTTAAACTGGATTTTATTGTGACAACCCTGTTTAGCTTAGCATTAGCCAACAAATGTGGTACCGAAATACAAATGTACAAAAGTCTGATAAAATGAATTCGCCTGCCAGATAACATCGTAGCATGTTGTCAATATACAGTATACAGCTAACCACCACTTTAGCTTTACGTTATATTTGTGTTTATGTTATAATGGAGATAATCTGGCAGAGCGGAGCAGTGAAATGGAGTCAGTAGCGTTAGCAGCACATTTTCTAAACAAGTTCCCAGAACGAAACAAAGTAAAGTCATTTCATTTTAACCATCCTGATAATCAATACAAATATTCGGTGACACTTTATATTAAGTCAGTAGTTTATTTCTGTGATATCACTTTTTACAGCAAGTCGATATGGTTAACAAGATCAGGTTTCCTCGATGGATGTCAGATTCATCAGTTTAAATCCTTTAATTTTGGTCCTTTTTCCAACGTTGAATGACAATGGCAATAAAAACTACAGGAAGTGGAGAACTTAATATAAAGTGTTACCATGTTAGATTCAGCTTTCAACATTTGGGATGCGTTTGTTAAATTGGTTTTTAAGTGAATCCATCACAGCAAAGTGGTCACTGTATGACCGCCGTACAACCGCCGTACGACCACTGTATGACCGCCGTACGACTGCTGTACAGCCGCCACGACGAGCTGCCACACAAACGCCTCAAAGTGCGAGAATCTGGAGAAATTTCAAACCGTTGGTGAGAAGACTGACATCCTCATGGCCCAGAGTATGGAGGACCGAAACCGCCAAAATCAAACAAAAAAATAGAAAAATTACCCAATAAATAACTATACCATTAAATGCACCAAAAATAATATACGAATTAAATATAGGTAATTAAATATAATTAATTTGCGCTAGTATTTATTTCCATTTCCATTTAATTTTACATTTTCTTTTTTAAATTTGATTTATGAGTGTATTTATTTCTGTATCAGTTTTCCCTTTGCAACCCCCCAAAAAATCGTTTAATTTATTTCAAATAAATAATTTTATTAAACATTTCTGCTTCATTATACAAATGAGGGGTGGCTCCTACTGGTTGATCGACATCATACATCAATATTGGTGCATTTAATGGAATAAATATAAATATACAGAATATATTTTTATTTCTTTCCTTCATACAGATGGCCAGATTTCATTTGGCGGAGCCATCGGCACTTAATTACTGTCACATGAACAACAGAAGAGTTGTTCCAGTTAGTTAGCTTGCTAAAGTGAGGTAACTTTATTAAATACAATTGCAGATCTATCCATGGTTTTATTTAATCTCTTTCACATGCTGGTTCAGATAAATCGAACCGTCAGCCTGAGATCTGCTCATATTTCTCCTCCTTAGACGAGTCCTCAGCTTTCAGTGAAATAATGTTTTCAGCTGCTGTTCGAACGAGCAGCAGAAACTTATTAGCAGACAAACATCGTCAGTGTGACACATGAAGCTGATTTCTCCAGACGCTGCAGCGTTAGAGCCGCTGTGGTCACGTACAGACAAAGACAAATGTTTTTGTTATGAAAAATAGAAAACTGAGAAGCTCCAGTCTGCGTCTCGTTGAGTCAATTAAAGACGTCCTGCAGGGCTCGGCTACCAACGGCGGCTTCTTGGTTTCGTGTGAAGCTTTGTTACTCTGACAGAGTAAGTGTGGCGGCGGTCGGCGTCCCATCAGGGTTTAATCAGCAGCTGGTTTTGGATTCTTCTGAGCCTCAGAGACCTGGACCTGGAGCCCTGAAAGATTCTGTACCGAGAGCACAGGAACAGCTGCTACCAACAGTTCTTACAGTCCAATGAGCCAAAAACCAACATGTGTGTGTATTTGGAGAAAGTGGGTGAAGCCGGTGGTAGTCCAGGTCTTGGCGTAATCGAGATTAGTCTGGAGGTCTCAGTCTCTGTGGTTCGTCCTCTGGCTTCGCTCGGGTTTGTGGTTCCTGGGTTTTAGTTTGTCGCTGGGGCAAAGATCCAACGCACGGGTCTTCCTGGTCTTCCATATCTGACAAGCAGATGGTCTTCGTTGAGGACTCAGGTGAAGTGGGGCATCCGACTGCAGGTTCTGGAAGACAGTGAACGTTTTTATGGACCACGTTAAAGTGTGACTCCTCAAACCGACAGATTCATTTAAAACAAGGACACAGACAAAGAC